GTGACACATTACTGGCCCACAATTTGTTTTTTTTTTTTTTTTTGGAGCCAAGATCTCCTGGAACTCACTACATAGACCAGGCTGGACTTGATCTCACAGAGACCCCCCCTCCTCTGCTGGTATTAAAGATGTGCACCACCACGCCTGGCTTCACAGTTGCTTTTTAATAGCAGCGCTTTTCATACAGACACAGAGCTGTGCAGCCACAGTCCCTCGTCTGAGCTAAACGAGTACATACATATACATTGAGGGTAGGCCGCCTGGGCTGGTTCATTCTTGACATTGCCAATGTGGGTCACTGCTTTTTTTTTTTTTTTTTGGAGCCAAGATCCCCTGGAACTCACTACATAGACCAGGCTGGACTTGATCTCACAGAGACCCCCCCCCTCTGCTGGTATTAAAGATGTGCACCACCACGCCTGGCTTCACAGTTGCTTTTTAATAGCAGCGCTTTTCATACAGACACAGAGCTGTGCAGCCACAGTCCCTCGTCTGAGCTAAACGAGTACATACATATACATTGAGGGTAGGCCGCCTGGGCTGGTTCATTCTTGACATTGCCAATGTGGGTCACATGGTGGGTGTCCTAGTTTGTTCTCCATTGCTGTGACAAAATACTCTGACCAATACCAACTTGGGGAGGAAAGGATTTATTCAGCTTACATTTACCAGGTCACAGTTCATCAGGGAGCCCGAGGTAGGAACTCAGGGCAGGCAGGCACCTGGAGGCAGGAGCTGGAGCACAGGCCATGGAGGAACGCTGCTTACTGGCTTGCTCCCCTGGCCCCTGCTCAGCCTGCTTTCTTATACAACAGAGGCCCACCTGCCCGGGGTGGCACCACCCACAGTGGGCTGGGCCCTCCCACATCACTCATCAAGAAGATGCCCCTCAGACATGGCCACAGGCCAATCCAATAGAGGAAATTCCCCAATTGAGGCTCCCTCAACCCAGGTGTGTCAAGTTGACACTAAAGCTATCCAGCACAGTGGGCCTTCAATTCCAGCACTCAGGAGGCAGAGGCAGGTAGGTCTCTGTGAGATCAAGACTTACTATGGTCTAATAGTAAGTTTCAGGCCAGTTGGGGCTACAAGGAGACCCTGTCTCAAAAAAACAAAACAAAACATATATATATATATAGGCTGGGGAATGATTATAAATGGTAGAATGTTTGCCCAATATACATAAGACTGTGGACTTGATCTCTAATAATAGCTATAATTATTTAAGAATAATAACCTAGGGACTGGTAAGATGGCTCAGTGGATAAAGACACAAAGCCTGATGACCTAAATTTGAGCCCCCAGGTCCCACAAGGAAGGAGAAAACCAATTCCCCAAAGTTATCTTCTGACCTCCACACATGCACTATAGACACACACACACACACACACACACACACACACACACACACACACTAAGAGTTTTAAAATGTAATTGAAGTCAGGTGTGGTGGCTTTTTTTTTAAAGTACCTACTTAAAGCCAGGTGTGGTGGCACATGCCTTTAATCCCAGCACTCAGTAGACAAGGCAGGCCTGGTCTACATAGTAAGTTCTAGGCCAACTGGGGCTACAGGGAGACCCTGTCTCAAAAAGACAAAATAAATTAATAAATAAATAATAAATAAATAAATAATAAATAAATAAATAAATGGAAAGGAAGGTACCCAAAATTGGCCTGTGGCCTCCACATGTGCACACGTAGGCTAGTGCACCTGCACACACATGCGCACACACACGGCACTAACCTGACAAGAGTCATTTGAAGAACATTAAACATGAAGTGATATTATTTCTCTTTCCTTTTGTTGTTTTTCAGAGCAAGCTTGCACACAAAGAGCAATTGCAGGGTCATTTACTGAGTAGCGGAAATTTTTCTGAGCAGATTTTTCCAGGGGCTGAAAGGCTTGTCTTTGGCTGTGTGACATAAGCTGGGGAAACAAGGAGAGGATTAGAAGGCAGATCCAAAAACTTTCCACTGATGTCTCAGTAGTAAAATAGTCCTCTCCTTTTGGATGCCTTGGAGGAGACTTTCGGGGTCAGCTGTTGGGCTGCACGCTTTTGTCTGGAAACCACTGGCGTCTGTTTCAGGAAAGGTTTGTGTTTGCCTTTGTTCTCTGCGGCACCATGCAGCTTCTAAGGCACTGAGCCTCTGTACCCCCTGGTTCTCCCAGGTTCACTCCCACGCCACTGGCTCAGGCTGTGGCAGAGCAGAGTAGCCTTGAAGAGCTTTGTCTGGCATCCCTTCCTTCTTTCACTTCTTTGGAGTAAAACAGAAAAAAAGTGTGACAGGCCTGTTCGGTAGTTTTGTTTTGTTTTTGTCTTTTTGACACAGGCTCTCCCTGTAGCCCCAGCTGGCCTAGAACTCACTATGTAGGCCAGGCTGGCCTTGAGCTCACAGAGCTCCACCTGCCTCTGCCTCCCGAGTGCTGGGACTATAGGTATGTGCCATCATGCCCAGCCATACCTACCTCTTTTTTACTTTTATTTTTTTATGGGTATGAGTGTTTTGCCTACATGTATATAAGTGTGTCTGTGTCATGCAATGCCTGTGGAGACCAGAAGAGAGCTTCAAATCCCCTTGAACTGGAGTTATGAACAGCTGCTAGCCATTATCTAGGTGCTGGGACCCAAACCTGGGTCCTCTGGAAGAGCGGCCAGTGCCCTTAACCACTGAGCCATCTGTCCAGCCTGGTACCTACTTCTTAGGTTGTTTGGGGGATTGATGAGTTTGTGTGTAAATGCAAATGGAACCTGGGGCCTGTGCATGCTAAATACCTACCCTGTCATTCAGCCCCCTGGGACACTGACAACCAGAGGAGGAGAGAGGACAGTGGGGCGGGGTCACTGCTTCCATCATAGGGTGGTTGGTAAGTCAAATAAATGCCCACAGGCCCATTATGCATCAAATGCTCAATAAAAATGATTCTTAGTGGACATGGTGGCACATGCCCAACTGCAGCCCTGGGGAGGCTGAGGTAAGTAGGAAGATCAAGAGGCCAGCCTGGGCACGTAGCAAGAACCTGTCAGGAGGAAAAGGAGGAGGGGAGGGGGGTCAGGAGGGAGGGTCCATCTTAACTGACTACTGGATAAAGCTCAGGCTGAGCTTCCTCTTTCTGATTGACAGGGACTAATCTCATTTGTTCACCCCTTAACTTGGTTATTCTTAAACTGGGCATGGTGGCTCACACCTTTAATTCCAGTACTTGGGAGCTCCAGGCAGGTGGATCTCTGTGAAATCGAGGCCAGCCTGGTCTACAGAGCAAGTTCCAGGCCAGCTGGGGCTACAGGGAGACCCTGTCTCAAAAAGACAAAAACAAAAAGTTATCCTAGGCCAAGCGTGGTGGTGCACGCCTTTAATCCCAACACTTGGGAGGCAGAGGCAGGCTGATCTTTGTGAGTTGGAGGCCAGCCTGGTCTACATAGTGAGTTTCAGGATGTTACAGGACGGAGTTCATAAAAAATCACCAACACCACTTTAAGAAAAGTAGCAAGGTTGGGTCTGGAGAGATGGCTCAGCGGGTAAGAGCACTGACTGCTCTTGCAGAGGACCTGGGTTTGATTCCCAGCACCCACACGGCAGCTGCAAACCGTCCTTAACTCCAGTTCCAGGGGAATCCAAAGCCCTCTTCTGACCTCCGCAGCATTGCACGACACGGGTGCACTCACATACATGCAGGCAATACACTCATACACATAAAATAATAAATAAAATATTTAAAACAAAAAGAAAAGCAGCAAGGTCAATTTTATTTTTCGCCTGGCCGCGCTGTCTATCTCGGGAGTAGACACAGCCCTGATGATTGTCGGGTCAGAGTTTTTATAGGATTACAGAAATATTATTCAAACAGGACATCTGTGAACCAATCAGGTTTGTACGACATAGCGGAACTTTGAATCTATTAATCAACAACCAATCATTACACAGACAAGTGATACAGTCATATAACTTGGCAATCAACTGTGTAAATTTTTTTTTTTTGGTCTTTTTGAGACAGGGTCTCCTTGTAGCCCCAGCTGTCCTGGAACTCACTATGTAGACCAGGCTGGCCTTGAACTCACAAAGATCCTCCTGCCTCTGCCTCCCAAGCACTGTGATTGATTAAAGGCGTGCGTCACCACGCCCGGTCCTTCAACTTTGTAATTTTAAAATCAGTCAACTCCCTAGCCATAACAAGTATAGTAAGAAAGCTGGAATCAGCAGTTATCGGGTGGCTAGACAGTAACAGGATGACAAGGGTGGTCTTATGCTGTGTGTCAAGGTGACCCAGAATAGCAAGTGGATTACAGAAGCGAAAACAAGCAGTTTAGCCAGGTGAAAAATGTCTGGAATTAGCACATTCCATGGTTCATGGCTAGGACAATTTCCCAAGACCCAAGGTTGCCCCCCTTTAGAGGCAGGTGGATCTCTTTGAGTTCCAGGCCAGCCCAGTAAGTTCCAGGCCAGCTGGGGCTACAGGGAGACCCTGTCTCAAAGAGACCAAAATAAATAAATAATAAAAATAAAAAATAAAAAAGTTATCCTTAAAATTTCTTTTACATTCATTTTGTGCTTGTGTGGTGTGTGTGCGTGTGTGTGTGTGTGTGTGTGCGTGCGTGTGTGTGTGCGTGTGCGTGTGTGTGTGTGTGTGCGCGTGTGTGTGTGCATGTGTGCGTGTGTGTGTGCGTGTGTGTGTGTGTGTGTGTGCGTTCCGCAGCACACATGTGGAGGTTAGAGGATAGGTTGCATGGGTCAGTTTCTCCTCCCACCATGTGGGTTCTGGGTATTGAACTCGGGTCATCAGCCTTGATAGCACCCACCTTCACCTGCTGAGCCATCATTCTGACCCCTCAGCATGTGTTTTCCAGGCCCATGAGAAGCCTGCGCACTACTCTGCACACAGGTAACCACCGAAGCTAGTCAAGGGAAGCAGAGCCTGTAGAGTGGCAGCCAATCATAAATGAGTCGTGGTTGCCCCACTCCTGCAAATCTGACTGGTGTATGTGTGCCTGCCCCTTCCTAGGACTTGTCACAGATGGAGCTGACCCTTCAGGCATTTAAACAAAACAGCACCTTGCCCCGAGAAGTGATGCTGCTCCTCACTGCAAACAAGACTGTTCTTGTGAAGTTCCAGGCCCCAGGAATCCCACTGCACTTGACCTATGTGAGTGTGTAACCCCCTTCTCCGAGTGCTAGGCTGCCATGCCAGCCAAGACAGGCCCCGGGTGTCCCTCTGCATGAGCTGGGGCCTTCTGTCCCTACTGCTTTTCTTTACAACCTGGTTCGAAGTGGCCCTGCCTTGACTCCCATGGCCCTGACACAACACCCAGGGAGGAGCAGGACCTGGGACTAGAGTCTAGACCAAGGGATGGAGGCAGACTGGACACAGCATCTCAGAACCACAGGGTCAGAGGGGAATCAATGGCCCTTACTGCTTGCTCTGAATTCTTCCCTCCTCCAGACTGCCTCCCCAGCAAGTCTTCCTATTCTCCAACTTGAACTTAGCCCAACAGAGCCCAAGAAAACCCAAAGGAGACAGTGAAGTGTTGGATCCACCCAGATTGTCTGTCCCCATCCAGCCAGGGGACTCATCTTGCTATTTGTTAAAGCTTTCCATTGCTTCAGTTGAGGCATGTTTACTTTCCGAACGGCGAGATGCCCAGGACAGGCACCACCCTATCTGTCTTTCATTCATTATTTTTTATACATTTCTTCCTCCCCCTTTCCCATGTGCCAGGAGCACCCACTAGGTGGCAGGAATCAAGGTGCAGCTGGCATGTCAGGATCCCCAGTACCCAAAAACTGTCTCAACGCCCTCTGTGTGTCAAGTACTGGGTAGGGATGGGCACCCAGACATCCCTCACAGGCCCTCAGGAGTGCAGAAGGACATAGACAGTAGCTATGTGATACTGTTCAATTGGGTTGAATGAGTGTCTCATGTGAGGGTGGAGCTGGAACAGAGGCACCGACAAGAATATATAGTAGCCATGTACGGACAAGAGACAGGTAGCCATGGCTGTGGTAGAAGAGGAACCTGGGGGGCTCTAGGCTAACTGCAGACCCTTCTAGCCTTGTCATCCTCAGTCCTGACCTCTATCAACAGACTGAGCAGACTCCCCAGATTACTCCCTGACCCCTTGCTTGAGACGAAAGTGACTCAGTACTCTGTGTCTCTCCAGAACCCCAACCTGGTCATCTTCCAAGAATACCCAGGATTCAATGTTACGCAGCTGCCACATTTTACCACCAAGAGCCAGATCCTTGACTGGGCTGCTACAAAGGGCGCAATCACCTCCGTGGCGGTACTAAATGACCCCAAGAGCGTCATCCTCCGGCTGGGCCAAGGTCAGCTTCTTCGGTCGCCTCTGTGTTCAGTTGTGGAGGAATTAGATCTCTCTGGCCCACTGAGCAGACTCCAGGCTGGGGCACTGCAGTCCATGCTGGGATGAGCTGCCCTAAGTCTCACATGTCTGGACAGTGCCCTTTGGGGACAGCAATTGCTTCTTCACCAAATATTCAATAGGAAATGCCAGATTATTTTAACCTTAAAAACCCCTGCACACGCAAGGTCTGGCACACCTTTAATGCCAGCACTCGGGAGGCAGAGTCAGGCAGATCTCTGTGAGACCAAGGTCAGCCTGGTCTATATAGCGAGTTCCAGGCCAGCTGGGGCTACAGGAAGATCCTGTCTCAAAAAACCCTACCACAAGGGGCTAAGGATGTGGCTCAGTTGGTGGAGTGCCTGCCTAACATTAAGCCCTGAGTTTGAGGCCCAACACCACAGTTTCCAGTGTGATGGCACGAAACTGTAATCCTAAAACTGGGGGAGTAGAGGCAGGAGGATCCCTGAGGCTTGCTGGCCAGCCAGTCCAGCTGAATCTGTGAGCTCCAGGTTTAGTGGGAAATCCTGTGCCCCCAAAATAAGATTGGGCCTGGGACATGACTCAGCGGTTAAGAGTACTGGCTGCTCTCAAAAAGGACCCAGGTTCAGTTTCCAGCACCCACAAGGTGACTAACAACTGTCCATAACTCCAGTTTCAGGGGATCTGATGGAATCTTCTGGCCTCCATGGGGATTGCATGCACACGGTACACTTACATACATAGGGAGTTCCAGGCCAGCAGGGGCTACTGGGAGACCCTGTCTCAAAAAAGACCAAAAAGAAATAAAAATAAACATGTTTTGAAAGATTGGGAACAATTAAGAAGAACACCGGATTGAGGCTGGAGAGCTGACTCAGGGATCAGGAGCACTGGATGCTCTCACAGAAGACCTGTGTTAGGTTCTCACCACCCACATGGCAGCTAACAACATTACCTCCAGCTCCAGGGGCTCCAACGTCCTCTTCTGGCCTCCACAGGCATTGTACGACCCAAGTGCACTTATATACATGCAGGCAAAACACTCATATACATAAAAATAAATTTTAAAAAATTTTTAAGTTAAAAAAAAGAAAGACACTTGACATCAACCTCTGGTGTCTACCTACACGTATGTGTACACACATAAACACACACACACCCCAACACAAGAAACCACTAGCCCCAAACCAAACCCAAGACTTCCATATGACTCACTGTATGTCTATGTGCCAAGTTCTATGCTAGGCACCTGGGTACAGCTCTGCCTGCCTGGTGTTGTCACTACGATGGGGGAGATGACAAGCCCCTAGTAGACTCATGCCTCTATCCCTAGGCCATAGAACCACACCATTTATACAGATAAATAAACTCTGTGCATCCCAGGTAGGCCTTGAGCTTGTGATTCTCCTGCCTTAGCTTCCTGAGTAGCTGGGGCGACAGGTGCAGGCTTAGGTAAATAATTCTATCATTTCAGGTCTTAGTCAATGCTACAGGAAGGTTAAAGTGGAGTGATGTGCTGGGTGGTGGTGGGATGTATCTCTAACATGTGCCATTGGCTCATCCCTTATATCAACCCTGTGTTGACAGATGAGGAGATGGAGAGCCAGAGCCCTCAGGGCCACTCTGCAGGTAAGTCCTCCCATGTCCCCACGTATGAGACTCTGTCTTGAATGCCCCCACCACCACCTTTGGCTGGAGGTCAGGGAGAGCTCTCTGTCGTTTCGTCTCCACAGCACCGAGGTTAACATCCTTCTGCCTCCTGGAAGAGCGCTGGGACATGGGCAGCAGGCTGGAATGGCAGCCCCAGGCCCCCACCCAGGTCCAAGGTTGCCAGTTGGAAGGAGTAATGGGCCACAAGGAGGCCCACATCCTGAGGGTCCTGCCAGGCCCTGGTGCTGGGTAAGGATGCTGGCCTCTGGCAGCTGGGTCCTTCCCAATCAGACCTAGAGACCCCACCCCAATCAGATCCCATCCACCATTAGACGATGCCCCTAATCAGACCCCACCCCTATCTAGATCTAGGCTCCACCCCCATCCAATCTAACCCTCTATTAAACAATCAAATTCTGCTGCATTTAGCCCTGCCCTGGCCAGGTCAGAGCACAGTCTAGGCCTCACTGTTTCTAGGCCCCTAGTGGACTCATGCCTCCATCCCTCGTCCATAGAACCACACCAGGCTAAGGGCGGGCACAGCCACTTCTTACTGAGGCCAGGACTGTCCCCGTACCCAAGCCGGCGGTCGGCCTGTGCTGACCCAGCCCTTTGCTCACCACAGGCCCTGGACAGTGAGCGTAAAGGTGGAACTGAGCTGTACATCCGGGGATCCTGATGCAGTCCTCATCCTGCAAGGTCCTTCCTATGTGTCCTGGCTCATTGATGCCAACCACAACATGCAGATCTGGGTAAGCCCGCATGCCCACCCCAGCCTGAGACCTGAAGCACCACAGTCCTTCTGCCCCCGCCCCCCAGCTCTGTCTATTACCGGTTTTCTTCAGTGCTTCACTTAGAGGCCACCTCCTCCAGGAAGCCTTCCCTGATGGGCTAGGACGCACACTGAGTTGAGACGAACCCTGAACTGAGTTGAAGGACAAGCAGCTGAGGGGAAGGGTGTGGACAGGCAGAGGGAAGAGCAGCTGGGAGCAGAGCACAGGAGTCACTGTAGCTGATGCCCTGGCCTCCCTCTCTCTAACTTTCAGACCACAGGTGAATACTCTGTCAAGATCTTTCCAGAAAAAAACATCAAAGGCTTTGTGCTCCCAGACACACGCCAAGGCCTTCTGGGAGAGGCCCGGATGCTCAACGCCAGCAGAGTAGCCTCCTTTGCGGAGCTCCCTCTGGCCAGTGATGTCTTACTGAGGGCCTCCAGCTGCGGTGAGCTTCAGCCCTGACCCTGCCCTCCTTTCCCTCACCTCCCTTGGATCACTTGCCCCACTGTCCTGTGAACTTAGCCCAGTCTCTTTGATCCTTGCTGGCCTCTTTTGCCACATGAGGGTAATGAGGAGCTAGCCATTCAAGACCTCTGTGCACAGTGAGCACTCAGTGATTGTCCATTGTCCCCCTCTGACCCACCCCCCAACAGGCGGTGGGCTAAAGACCTCACCTGCACCAATCCCGACCACACCTCCCAAGGACAGGTGCAGTCCTGAGCTCCTCATGTCCCTGATTGAGCCAACGTGCGCCAATGACCTCCTGACTCTGGCACTCAGGAAAGAACTTGTGCAGGTAAGACAAGGCCTCTCCCTCCACCTCAGGTTGATAAGAACAGCTAGCTGGTCCCTCTACTAGCCCAACAATCTTGGGAGCCAAGCCCAGGCAGGGGGACAAGTCACTTCCCTCCGCAAGCCTTGTGAAATGCAATTTGAGCCTGGTACAGTGGTGTGCATTTGTATTCCCAGAACTCAGGAGGCTGAGCCAAGGGGACAGTCAACTCCAGATCATCCTGGACTTCACTGCCCCTATCTTCAACAAACAGACAGACAGACAAACAGAAACATGCCTGTAATCCCAGCACTTAGTAGGTAGACATAGGAAGATAGAGGTTCAAAGTCATCCTTAGCTATGTAGGAAGTTTGAGGCCAGCCTGGGTTACATGAGACCCTGTCTCAAAACAATATTATAATAATAATAATAATAATAATAATAATAACTAAATAAAACATTTTTTAAAAATAATGCATGGGGCTGAGGAGCTGGCTCAGTGGGTAAAGTGCTTGTTGCTTGAGCATGAAGACCTGAGTTCAGATCTCTAGCACTCACATAAAAAGCAGGCCCCAGTACTAGGAGGCAGAGAAAGGAGGGACCTTGGGGCTTGATGGCTAGCCAGTCAATGAGGTTTAAATTCAGTAAGAAACCTTCTCTCTTGCCCGGCATGGTGGTACACGCCTTTAATCCCAGCACTCCGGAGGCAGAGGCAGGCAGATCTCTGTGAGTTCAAGGCCAGCTTGGTCTACATAGCAAGTTCCAAGTCAGCTGGGGCTACAGAGAGACCCTGGCTCAAAAAGATTTTACAAAAAGAAACTCTGTCTCAAAAAGCAAGGTGGATGGGTCATGTGAGATGGGTCATGTGAGATAGCCCAGTGGGTAATGCACTTGGCTCATAAGTCTAAGGTCCTGAGATCAATCCTTGAAACCCACCTAAAGGTGGAAGGAGAGAGGAACTCCACAAAGTTGTCCTCTCCTCTAAATGTGGGCCATGACACATGCACCCTCACCCCCCATATCACACACAATAATAATTAATAAATTCTTTAAAAAAATAATAAAAAGATAGAGCCGGGCATGGTGGCGCACACCTTTCATCCCAGCACTTGGGAGGCAGAGGCACGCAGGTCTCTGTGAGCTCCAGGCCAGCCTGGTCTACATAGTGAGTTCCAGGCCAGCTGGGACTACAAGGAGACCCTATATAAAAAATAAAAAAAACTTAAGCTGGTCATGGTGGCACACGCCTCTAGTCCCAGCACTTGGGAGGCAGAGGCAGGTCTATCTCTGTGAATTCAAGGCCAGCCTGGTCTACATAGTAAGTTCCAGGCCAGCTGGGGCTACAGGGAGACCCTGCTTCAAAAAGACCAAAAGAAAAAAAAAACTTGGTATCAGTTTCTGGCCTCTGCTCATGCACCCCGTGTGCACCTGCAAATGCACACACAATGCATAGACCACACACACACACACACACACACATACACACACACACATACACACACATACACACATAACCACACACATACACACACATACACAAACATACACACACATACACAAACACAAACATACACACATACGCACATACATACACACACACACATACACACACATACGCACACATGCACAT